CGGAGTTGGTACAACTTGGAGCTATTCTGTGTGACAGTATATGTTTTCCGAGCTGCGTCCCACACCACATAAGCCGTTGAGCAGTGATCAAATAAGACACGTACATTTTTTGTCATGGAGTTGAGGAGCCATGACTGCACCAAACAGTTGTCTTCATCCTAAGCTTCATAGCTAGGATCATCAATGGCAGGGGCAATCTTTTTACCATTAATGAAACCAGCCATACGACGAGCAGTGATGGCCAAGCGAACACTACGAGACCATGCAGGATAGTTGGACCCATCCAACTTATCAGGAGTAATTGGAGAGTAGTCATGAGAGGACCGGGGTGGTGGTGGTGTTGTGGAGTCGATCTTGGTGGAGTCGATTTTAGAGGAGTCGTCCGTGGAGTCGTTGATGGAGTCGTTGGTGTCACCCATGAGGTAAGTATATAAAAGGATGTAGAGGAAGAAATAGCTTAAAACTTCAGCAAACAAGAGCACAAAAAGGGCTTGTGATCAAGACCAATTTTGAGGCAAGGCAAAGTATGAGGTAGGAATAATATAACAGCAAATTATGGGCAAGGATAGGTAGAGATTTAGGCAAGAACAAGGTTATGCAGAGGCAACCAAAATCGATTGCTCTGATACCATGCCAAATATAGTGTAATTGAGAGAGTTGAGAATGTATAACAAGAAGAACAAGATAGGTTTTGCAGAGAATTCAAATCTGCCAATTGAATTACTTACTTGGTGAAGGGTTAGATATACAAGTATACAAGGTGATTATTAGTTACAAACAATGCACAAGACATGGAGGGAAACATGGAGAGTTTCCATCCCTAAAACAAGGAATATGAAAACAAGGAAAAGTAACAAGGTGGTAGACAAGCCATTTAGGGATGTCTATGTTTTGTCTTTGATTTTACTAACATCTACATGGGGCACCTCAGAAGGCCAAAACAAAGATTGTTGCACGTGGAAAGGAGTCTACTGCAGCAACCAAACTGGCCAGGTTGTTGAACTTCAGCTTGGATCCCAATCTTTGCAAGGACGATTAGTTCTAATTTAAATGATTGGCTTGCTGCAGCATGACTTTAACTACGTACTATATATTACTAATTATATATGCAGAAAAGCTATGTAATAATTAAAGTAGTTAATTAAGAAGCTCCTTAATTAATTAAACAAAGTTTATGTAGACTCTTTATTTAATGACTTTTTAAGGACTGCAGGTTCATCTATGGATGTTTGGGGCAACATGAGCTCTCTTGCCGTCCTTAATCTCGCTGATAACCAACTTGAAGGAGACATAACAAATTCGTTTTCGGAGCTATGCAGTTTGAGATCATTAAGGCTTTCAAACAATAATCTCAGTGGAGAATTTCCCAAGTTTGTTCAGATATTGTCTAAATGTTCTCAAAAGCAACTAGAAGGTTTGTATCTCTCTAACAACCGAGTAAGCGGAAAAATACCTGAAAGCATTGGGCAAATATCATCATTGACAGAATTATCCCTCTATGGAAATCAATTAACCGGAAGAATACCTGCAAGTATTGGGCAAATGCAATTATTGACACGATTATCTCTTTACGGAAATCAATTAAGCGGGAGAATACCTGAAAGTATTGGACAAATGTCCAATCTGGTGTACATCAATCTTGGTAAGAATTCTCTGGAAGGGGTGATTTTTGAAACTCATTTTTCAAAACTCTCCAAGTTAAAATATTTGGATTTATCCTCCAACTCACTGGTTTTAAACTTCCATTCTGATTGGGTCCCTCCTTTTCAATTGAGTGTCATAATATTGAGGTCTTGCAAGATGGGTCCATATTTCCCACAGTGGCTTCAAACTCAGAAAAATTATTCATCCCTTGATATCTCTAACACTACAATTTCTGACATCATTCCAAGTTGGTTTTGGGGTTTGTCACGTACAGCTGTCCTTATAAATCTCTCCCACAACCAAATTAGAGGAACATTTCCAAGTTCAACAATGGAGTTTGCTTATTACCCTAAGCTAAATTTTAGTTGGAACCAACTGGAAGGTCCAATTCCTTCATTTCTGTCAAAATCATCATCTCTAGATCTATCCTACAATAAACTTTCCGGGTTCATTTCTTTCTTGTGTGGAATCAAGGCCAGTAATTTAACCCTTCTTGATCTCACAAGCAACCATGTATCTGGAGAACTTCCAGATTGTTGGACGCATTTAGAAAATCTAGTCTTTCTTGGCTTGTGTGGCAATGGTTTTTTTGGCAAAATTCCTACCACCTTGGGGAATTTATATTCTCTTGAAACCTTGAAATTCAAAAACAACAGATTTGTGGGAGAGTTGCCTTCATCCTTGATGAACTGTAAACACTTGAAAGTTATTGATGCTGCAGAAAATCAACTGTCAGGATTGATACCTGGATGGTTAGGGTTTGAACTTCCAAAGTTGGTTATCCTTATCCTCCGTTCTAATCACTTTTATGGAAGAATTCCTTTACAGTTATGCAATCTAACACACGTCCATATATTGGATTTGTCAATTAACATCTCTGGAACTATGCCCAAGTGTCTCAGCAATTTGACGGCTTTAGTTGATAAACGACATTCAATTCTAACCATCACTCATCATTATGCAAGTGATTTTGGAAATGGGATTCTTTCAGAGAGCTATGATGATGCAGCAACCTTAATATGGAAAGGAATAATGTCTGAATACAAGAGCACTCTGGGACTTGTGAAGAGCTTTCATTTGTCAAGCAATCAATTGACGGGGGAGATTCCTAAAGAAATCATTCATCTTGGTGGTTTGGTTTCTTTAAACCTGTCGCGAAACCATCTAATAGGTCAAATAAATCCAGACATTGGGAAGTTGGAGTTATTACAGTCTCTTGATTTATCAAGAAACCAGATCGATGGAAGAATTCCGACAAGTCTTTTTCAGATATATGGTCTTGGTGACTTGGACTTGTCAAACAACAACCTGTCTGGAAATATTCCAATGGGGTCTCAGCTCCAAAACTTTGATCCGTCAGCCTTTGCCGAAAACCCTCTGCTTTGTGGACTTCCACTTCAAAGGATGTGTGATCAAGAGAAAGAGAAAGGCAGTGTTCAACAAACTGGCTTAGGGAATCAAGACCATGAAGGTGGGCTTGTAACGCGTGGATTTTACATTAGTATGGGGCTAGGTGATAAGTGCATTATTTACTATATTTTTGTATCTCTTTTATTTGGTTTTTGTAGGGAAAGTTAATTTAAAATAGCATTATTACCTTACTTTCCTTATTTTCAGCTATTCTGCACTCTTGGAAGGATTTCGACTGAAAATCGAGTTTTCAAATGAATTTTAGCGCAAGGCCAATTGGAGAAGAAAGCTAAGACATTGAAGATCATTGTATCAAAGTTTCATAATTTTCTACCAAGCCAAATGCTCCAGACTTGCAAGTCAAGACAGCCTAAGTTGAAATTCCGTCAAAACTGCACTGCTGTGGAAGATTGAAGATTTGAAGACCTTTCCGATTTTTCCTAGTGGCGTGTAATATATGCCTGGAAAGCTTAGACATAAAGCTACGTTTCTCATATTTTTCCAGAATTTTCTAGGAAGTGGAATGACCCCAAAGTGTACGTGCAAGTTGGCTGACGTGTTTCCAAGTCAAAGAAGGATTCTTTCCTAATTTGTTTCCTTAATTGTTTGGGATTTTGTTTTGCTTTAGGAGAGTTTTTCCAGACCTTTTAAGAGTAGGGTTTAGTTGTTTTACAATATATAAGATCACCCTACCATCTCTTCAGAGGATCATCATCCCATATACCATATTTTTCCACCAACTTTCATACACCCAGAGAAACATCAGAGAGGGAGCTAGTTGTTCTTGAGTCTAATTTCTTTTCAACTGGATTGTAGATTCTAGCTTCAGATGGACAACCCCAAACATGTAAGTGAGCAAGACTAGGTTTTCTTCCAGTCCACATTTCAAAAGGTGTATTAGGCACTGATTTACTAGGAACTCTATTCAAAATATAATTTGCCGTTTTTAGTGCCTCTCCCCACAGAAAATCAGGTAGTTGTGAACTAGTAAGCATACTTCTCACCATGTCTTTAAGAGTTCGGTTCGCACCTCTAGCCACGCCATTTTGTTGTGGTGTTCCAGGAGTTGTGTATTGAGCTACTATTCCATTTTCCTGCAAGTAGATAGCAAATGGTCCTTTCTGTTGTCCAGCCTCTGTGTACCTGCCAAAATACTCTCCTCCACGATCTGACCTTACAATTTTAATGTGTTTGTCCAATTGCTTTTCAACTTCAAGTTTAAAAATTTTAAAACAGTTTAAGACTTGTGACTTTTCAGAAATTAAGTACAAATAGGTATATCGAGAGAGGTCATCTATAAATGTAACAAAGTAAGAGTTGCCACAAATGGTTCTTGATGGAAATGGACCACACACATCTGTGTGAATGATTTCTAAAAGGTCATTGCTTCTGGTTGCACCAATTTTTCTAGTATTAGTAGTTTTACCCTTGAAACAGTTTATGCAAATTTCAAAATCCTTTAAATCCAAGTTTGGTAAAATGTTTTGTTTTGTTAACCGAGTCATTCTATCCTTTGAGATGTGCCCCAATCTTCTATGCCAAAGCATAGAAGAGTTTTCATTAGTGAGCATTCTCTTGGGTGCAGAATATTCAATGTTGAAACATTCTTGAACTTCAGTGCATTGAATTTGCCATAAATCACCACTCAGGAAAGCATAACCAAGCAAATCAGTTAAATTATCATTTCGAAAAAGTTTTAAGCTTTCACTGTCACCAGTGAAAGAAAAACCATCTTTTACATGTGGTATCAGAGCCTAACAATTGAAACCATGATTTCACATGCTTAATTTTGTTTGACCTGCTGCTTGGAAACTGATTGTTTTTAAATAATATTGAAGGGCGTGAATTTTGTTTTCTAATCTTATGTTCCGCATAACTGTCATGCTACTAACCCAATGCAACAGGTCAAGAGCTATTTCAAAAAAAGAAAAAATACAGTTGTTGTCTATGTCATCACCAAATTGTTTCTTGAGTTCAATTCAATTAAGTGATGACAGTTGTGTTTTTTCAATACATTAACAAACACTAGAATTCGATCGACTCATTCGATTGTTTTGGCTAGTGGCTTTATGTTCCTTTAAATTATTAAAGGAAATTATGTTTGTTATACACAAACTTGATCTGTTTTAAAATTCTTTGGACCAATTGAATAATCTACCAAAGTGGTTTATTTGATGTTATTATGAAAGAATTTTTTTTTTTTTAGAAAACTCAGATTCGTAGTTTATGGGTTATGACTGGTAGGCTAATTTCCAAAGAAATTGTCTTCTAGGTTCTACTGTAAACTAATGTATAGTGAGTCATGAAGAACTTGAACATTATGTATTTCATCTTGCCTAAAGGTGTTGGAATTTATAATTTTTGATTCTCGTTGATTTATGCTTAGCTATGCAAACACATTTTGATAAAAAAATTCTTGCCTAAAGGTGAAGCTGATTCAATTTTTATTATAACAGAAAACCTTTTGTTCTAGTTTTCTGTTGTAATAATAAGATATATATATATCTTTTCACATCAAATGAGTTATCAATGCTAGGTGCCAATCCCCTAAACTTCACCAACATTCAGAAACTGAATGGAAGCAACTACAAGAAATGGAAACAGGAGATTGACATTCTGCTAGGACTGTTGGAATATGATGTAGCTTTAAGAGAAGAAAAGCCAGCTGATCTGACTGCAGAAAGCACTGAAGCAGAGAAAAGTTTTTTTGCCAATTGGGAAAAGACCAACAGGTTATCACTGCTGATCATTCAGAATGCCATGGAGGAACATGTAAGAGGTGGAATCAAGAAGTGTGACACTGCAAAAGAATTTTTGGCTGCGATAAGTGAGAAGTATCAGAAATCCCAAAAGGTAGAAACTGGAAATTTTTTGTCGACATTTACCACCATGAAGCATGATGGTACTGGAAGTGTTCGTGAGCACCTTTTGAAGATGGTTGATGTGGCCAACAAGTTAACTAGCCTGCAGATACCTATTAATGATGAGTTTATAGTTCATATGGCACTCAACTCCTTGACTCCTGAGTATGAACAAATTAAAGTCTCCTATCATACTCAGAAGGACAAATGGTCAGTCAATGAGCTAATCTCAATTTGCTGTGAGCAAGAAGACAGACTCAAGAAGGGAAAGGCAGTTGCTGTTAATTTGGTTGATACAGTCAATGGCAAGAAAGCTGGTGGTCCAAAGAAGTATGGAAATCAAAAATTTGGAGGATCAAAAGGTGGATCAACCTCTGGTAAGAAATTTTCCAATGATTCTGCTGTACCTGCTAAAAATGCTCAAATCCCTCCTACATCTGAAAACTTGAAAGTGAACAAAAAGATTGTCAAATGCTACTTTTGTCAAAAATCTGGTCATGTTAGAAAAGATTGTGAAGGTTTCAAAGCATGGCTGGTGAAGAAAGGTAATAATACTGTTTTCAACAATGATTTTATTAATGTATGTGTTGAGTCAAATCTTGTTTTTATTCCTCAAAATTCTTGGTGGTTTGACACTGGTTGTACAACACATATTACAAATTCTTTGCAGGGATTCAGAAGGGAAAGGATGCAAAGTAAAGAGAACTACAGAGTTTTTGTTGGAAATGGATCTAGATTAGAAGTTGAGTCAGTTGGTAGTATTGAGTTAAAATTGTCTTCTGGTTTTCTTTTGTTTTTAAATAAAGTACTCTATGTACCTTCGATGAGGAGGAACCTAGTGTCAGCATCTAGTCTTGTAAAAGATGGTTTTTCTTTCACTGGTGACAGTGAAAGCTTAAAACTTTTTCGAAATGATAATTTAAATGATTTGCTTGGTTATGCTTTCCTGAGTGGTGATTTATGGCAAATTCAATGCACTGAAGTTCAAGAATGTTTCAACATTGAATATTCTGCACCCAAGAGAATGCTCACTAATGAAAACTCTTCTATGCTTTGGCATAGAAGATTGGGGCACATCTCAAAGGATAGAATGACTCGGTTAATAAAACAAAACATTTTACCAAACTTGGATTTAAAGGATTTTGAAATTTGCATAAACTGTTTCAAGGGTAAAACTACTAATACAAGAAAAATTGGTGCAACCAGAAGCAATGACCTTTTAGAAATCATTCACACAGATGTGTGTGGTCCATTTCCAACAAGAACCATTTGTGGCAACTCTTACTTTGTTACATTTATAGATGACCTCTCTCGATATACCTATTTGTACTTAATTTCTGAAAAGTCACAAGTCTTAAACTGTTTTAAAATTTTTAAACTTGAAGTTGAAAAGCAATTGGACAAACACATTAAAATTGTAAGGTCAGATCGTTCTCTACATCAAATGATCAGACCCTTATGCTACCCATTCCTTTTGTCCCTCTCAAAGCTCACGAAAACATTGCACCAGTTTCTGCCAACACTCCTCAACCGCAAGATATTGCTCCACAAATTCTTGTACAGCAAATTGACAATCTTTTTCAGGTTGAGCAGCCTACTACACAGGTTGAGCAGCCTACTGCACAACTTGAGCAGCCTACTGCACAACTTGAGCAGCCTACGACACAACTTGAGCAGTATGATATACCTCCTGTAAGAAGATCTCAAAGGGCAAGAAAATCTGCAATACCAGCAGATTATATGGTTTATTTGCAGGAAGTAGAGTTTGATATTGGTGATGAAGATGACCCCAAGTCATTTGATCAGGCTATGAAGAGTGCTCAAGCTCCTTTATGGCACAATGCAATGTTGGAAGAGCTAAATTCAATGGCGAAAAATGGTGTCTGGACCTTGACAGATTCCACTTCTCCCAGTAAACCCATAGGATGCAAATGGGTTTTGAAAACCAAAAGGGACTCACAAGGAAGAGTAGAAAGGCTAAAGGCACGATTGGTTGCTAAAGGATTCACACAAAGAGAAGGTTTTGATTACACTGACACTTTTTCCCCAGTGTCCTCCAAGGATTCTCTACGTATCATTATGGCCTTGACAGCCCATTTTGATCTTGAATTGCACCAAATGGATGTCAAGACTTAAATGGGGATCTTAAGGAGGATATTTTTATGCAGCAACCTCCAGGATTTGTTGAAAGGGGGAAAGAGCATTGTGTGTGCAAGTTGAACAAGTCCATTTATGGTCTTAAACAGGCTTCAAGGCAGTGGTATCTCAAGTTTGATGAAGTGGTAACATCTTTTGGTTTTGTAGAAAACAGACTTGATGATTGCATCTACCTCAAAGTCGACAAATCCAGGTTCATTTTTCTGGTTTTATATGTTGATGATATTTTACTAGCAAGTTCTGATTTTCAGTTACTACTTGAGACAAAGACTATGTTATCTAATAGTTTTGATATGAAGGATTTGGGTGAGGCTCATTATGTGTTGGGCATTGAAATTATGAGAAACAGATCAAGAAAGCTTTTGGGGTTGTCTCAGCTCAATTACATCAACAAGGTACTTAAAAGATTTAATATGGAGGCTTGTTCTCCTGGAGATCTTCCTATTGGCAAAGGTGATAGGCTTTCAAGGGACCAATGTCCTATGACTGAACAAGAGCAGGCAAACATGAAGAATAAACCATATGCATCTCTTGTGGGCAGCTTGATGTATGCCCAAGTCTGTACTAGGCCAGACTTGTCATTTGCACTCAGTGTATTAGGAAGGTTTCAAGCAAATCCTGGTGAACCACATTGGGTTTTAGCCAAAAAGGTGCTAAGATATCTAAAGAAGACTAAATCCCTTATGTTAATGTATGGTCATGTTGACAGTTTGGAGCTCACATGCTATTCAGATTCAGATTTGGCTGGCTGTGTGGATGACAGAAAATCTACAAGTGGATATATTTTTCTTTTGGCTGGAGGTGCAATCTCCTTGGAGAAGCAAAAAGCAAAATTCTATATCTACATCCACTATGGAGGCTGAATTTATTGGATGTTTTGAAGCAACTAGGCAAGGATTGTGGATCAAGAATTTTGTAACAGATATGAAACTAGTGGCAAATATTGACAAGGCTTTGAAGATCTACTGTGATAATAAGGCAGCCATATATTTTGCCAAGAACAACAAACGATCATCAGCTTCGAGAATTATGGATATAAAGTATCTGTCGCTTCAAAATAAAGTCAAGGAAGGTATTGTTGAAGTAGAGTACATAAACACTCACTCCATGTTAGCAGATCCTTTGACTAAAGCTTTGGCTGTGAGAGTCTTTCAAGATTTTGTGATGTGCATGGGATTGCATGAATCTTTTGACTCGGTTTAAGTGTGGGAGCAAGGTTATTTCTATAACCTATTTTGATTATTTTTGAGCTGTTCTTTTCTTGTTTTGTTTTGATAGATGATGAATAAGTTCTATTCTATTTAAGAATGGTTGGCAGTTTATTTTTTGTTTAAGTTTCCTCACAGTTTTGTCTTGCTTAAGCTTGGATTTCCATTAAGGAAATGATTTTGGGAGTCTCTTTTGAGCTCCATTACGTGGACCAGAAATGTGGGAGTTATTTAGGTACCTAACTCTCCACTTATTATCATTATGTCTGCAGCAATGTATTCTAGTGTATGTGTATGTGATTTTAGGGTGCTGGCACAGTTGAATTTGTGTCAAGTTTTCTAAAGTTCTGCATATACATTCGTTTGACAGTTGTTTTGGAAGTTACGCTGATGTTTGAATAAATCCAGTGATCACTATTGCCTTGTTTTGGTATGATATGATACAATGTAATTAGGCTGCACTCATGTGGGAGAATGTAAGCTGACTTATGTGAGTTAGCCTAATTACGTGTTATGATTATCATATTAGAATGAGATAATGGGATTTATGTTTATCAGTTATTGTTAGACTTTCAGTTTTGACAGACTTTGGTTAGTTTATATTGATTAGGACTCAATCACTTAAGTATATTAGTTTTGTTTAAACTCTTACTCTATCTATAATAGGAGAGATAGTGTTAAGGTTTCTTCAATATAAAAGAATCGGTCCCTCCTCTCACAATACACAAGTTCTGTGGCGTGCTTGACCTATTGATAGCAAGAACATTCTGGTGTTGCAGAGAGAAGAAGATCATTCCCATAGTTGTCATGTCTTCTTCACTGAGTATGAATCAATCGATAAGTTTTCTTTATTCATGTTGTAATTCATGTGTTTATTGTATTTAACTTTAGTTTTGCTTACATTCATTTGTCAAGCAATCAATTGACGGGGGAGATTCCCAAAGAAATCATTCATCTTGGTGGTTTGATCTCTTTAAACCTGTCGCAAAACCATCTAACAGGTCCAATAAATCCAGACATTGGGAAGTTGGAGTTATTACAGTCTCTAGATTTATCAAGAAACCGGATCGATGGAAGAATTCCGACAAGTCTTGGTGACTTGGACTTGTCAAACAACAACCTGTCTGGAAATATTCCAATGGGGTCTCAGCTCCAAAACTTTGATCCGTCAGCCTTTGCCGAAAACCCTCTGCTCTGTGGACTTCCACTTCAAAGGATGTGTGAACAAGAGAAAGAGAAAGGCAGTGTTCAACAAACTGGCTTAGGGAATCAAGACCATGAGGGTGGGCTTGTAACGCGTGGATTTTACATCAGTATGGGGCTAGGATTTGCTTTTGGATTTTGGGGAGTTTCTGGCACATTGATGTTCCACGAGTCAGGCAGATCCACATAGTTCAAGCTCTTCATACTTTGGAAAGAATGACTCAACCTGAGGCCAGCAATATCATTAGGCAAAGGGTAATTAGTATGATATGTATTCAAAGATTGAATATAACGTTTGAAGTTAGCATGATATGTATTCCATTTTTTAGTTGTACAAAAGAAATGAGCATCATACTCCTGAATTAACATATGCCTCGATCATCGTCATCATCATATATATATATATATATATATATATGAAGGTCTTAACTTCATCAAAATTTAGAAATAAGATGGAGAAAACTGTTGTGAAATAAACTAGGAGAGCTACACGGACTTACTGCTGGTGAGGACCAACTGCCTCGACAAAGAGCAAATGTCACATTAGGTTCCGGGTATCCGAGACCATAGGCATGTCTTAGTAGCATTCCTTTCTCATACGCAGGCCCCTACTAAGTGAGATGCAAATGATCAGGCAAAAAAATACATAAAAGAGAACAAAAATAGAAGGAGCTCAAGTTTTGATTTTCATTTCGCGTACATGTTTCGATTCAGATGTATGGCGGAGTATGAAATGCTCGATCGCCAGAGCATTCAACACTATGCCTCCCACGTTCAATGCAGCCTATGTGAAAATGGTTATCGATTAGTATCAGAATTGGGAAGTCATGGGTCTTACAGACATTGATGTACCTTGTTCATAAGCGCCAGTAGCTTCTCCTGCGTGGAAGGTAGCCCATGTTCCAGAAATGCCTGAAATTTGATAATTAAGAATAGAAAGCTCCCAATCAATATCATTCTTCAGATTTCTGTCTTTTCTTAAATCTTGCTTAAGATGTCTTACAGTACATGCATGATGCAGGCATTGTAGATGTTGATCCAGAACGCTAGCTTCTGCTTGTAGGTCAAGAAAGTCAAGTCCACATCACACAATTGATGCATCAACTTCCTGAAGACAACATAAAGAAGTTAACAAAACAATGCTTTTGAGAATGAATTTGTAAACAGCCGTCATTGCTAACAAGACCTGTAAGCAACCTCAATTTTCCAATTCCAGTCAAACAGTCTGATAAGCGGCTGAAGTCTAATGAGCTTCTTGTGATTTGGATGAAGTTCTTGTACGGGCCAATGTCCCGGACAGCGCCATCTATATCCGGTAATATGCAGTAAGGGTCAACATTGGATGTGTTGTAGTTGAAGAATACTGTGGATGATTTGCAGTTGAATGAGGTTTTTGCCATGAACCCTTTTGAGTTCATGCAGGAGAGAGTTAGCTTTGGGACAACAGATGATCCCTCTTTGTCCAATGACGTCTGTTTTAGGTCAAGAAATATGCCTATAAGGCACTTGAGCACTTCTTCTGAGAGTTCATTTGGTTTCAGACTAATCCCAGTTTCATTAATATCCACATTGCCCTGGTTTCTGCTTCTCCCACTTAGCTTCCTTGACATTTCAGCAATTTCTCCTGTTCAAAAAACACAACAAATAATCAAAACAAGGAAAAAAAAAAGTGTTTCAATATCCACATTCTTCTTCATATGAGATAAAGAAGCAGTTTACCATCTGACTTTGGGAAATTCCACCTTTGGAAATCTGATGCAGAATCCACAGAGGCTCTTCTATTCTTCATCCTTCTTTCTTTTCTCAATGCCTCATAGTTCTGGGATCTACTACATCTCTCTTCATTGAGCACTGACTGATTTCCCACTCTGCACAGCAAGTGATTCTGTTGCCCTTGCCTCCTCTGCACTTCCCATTCTTTGGTCTGTTCCCTCTCCTGGTACAACCTCAATTTCAGCTCTTCAACTCTTCTTTCCAGCCTACTAATCTCTTCTTCCACCATTGCTAGCTCTGAAAATAGCACCTGAACCTGCATATTGTAGAGCCTCTTCTCAAAATTCAATTCCACTTAATTACACATCACACACAAACACAAATGCGCGCTCTGACACACACACAAATGCGCGCTCACACACACACACACTAACGCGCTCTCTCTCTCTCTCTCTTTCCATTTAATTGCAAACTGTTGGTGGTGGAGACGTGAAGTCCATGAAGACAGAAAAAAAAAAACCGAGGTTCAAAAGAAGACCCGAAAAATAAAATAGAACTAAATACAGACATCGGGAAGCGCCGTCTGTGGGAATCGAACCCACGACCACATGGTTAAAAGCCATGCGCTCTACCAGCTGAGCTAAGACGGCAGATGATATTAAACTCCATAATTTAGGTAATTATGCAGAGGAAGAGAAGCTTTTCTTTTGGCAAATCATTATCCTATGATCTCTTCTTATGAGATTTAAAATATATGAAATATATGGAAAATTTGATATCTGTTATAAAACTAAAGAGATTGAGGAGAGAATTTAGAGAATTCAAATAGTGATAGAAATATTCTTCTGATATTTTCATTGAGTCTTTCTCTCTATATTATAAATGAGGAGGATGCCTTATTTTATAGGCAAAGACTTTAGCTAACAATTCGGTAGAAGACTCCAGGAAGGTGTATGAAGATTCCTTCCAACATGTGGGCTCCACCTTATCATTTTACAACACTCCCCCTTGGAGACCACCATGTATGGAATATGCCTCGTTAAAAACCTTGCCAGTAAAACCCAGTGGGACAAAAACTGGTCGAAGGGAAAAAGAGTACATAACCATGTGTAACATAAAATTATGTGTATATTGATGCGCGTGCGACACTGCCTCGTTAAAACCTTGCCAGGAAAAACCCAGTGGGATAAAAACCTGGACGAAGGAAAAAGAGTACAGTGTGTGATGGTCTTTATTGACAGCACGCTCCCCCTGATGCTTGGCAAAATATCTTTAAGCCATACTGCTAATCATCTTTCTGAATATCATAGTTGACATTGCTTCTGTAAGTCAATCTTGTAATATTGTTGGATGCTCCCCTTGAATAATATCTCCCCCTGATATCTTCATGACTATCTTTCTAGAGAAAAGATCTTTCGGATTGAGTGAATAATGTAGCCACCAACAATTCATATAGTTGAGTAAGTAAATATATTTCCAGTGAGCTATCTCTATGTAAATCATAGAAATTTCCAAAGTCCGCATATCTAACAAAACCTGGGCTATTTGTAAGTTCACTTGAAAAGAATATGCTCGTATATGGTGTTATGCGGAGATAGCATCAAATATGCCTCACATCATCCCAAAGTGGTGGTGATGGAGCTGAGCTCAATCTGGAAAATACAATGTCCGGTCCAGTATATTTCTGGAAAATCATGTAAGTGCCCAACGGATAATCCACATAAAATGCTTCAATACTTTCTTAGTATAAGCAATAATCTCATTGGCATAATGCTCGATCTTCAAGCCGAGACAACTGTTTCTTGAACTTTTCAAGAGTTTTAACCAAGTATTAACTCTTCATGAGTTTTGATCAATTATCAACTCTTCAAGAGCTGTAATGTGTTGCAACCATATCATAATTAGTGTACTCACTGAGGCAATTTATACATATTAGTATTGAGTACAAAATGTGTGCTTTTGGCACACGTCCTTCAAGGACTTGCTTCATGCAATTTCAATCCTTAATGGATTTAAGGGATTATCTTTCATGACACATTATATAGCTTTATATCCAGCTATTTGTTTTGCGTATACATCTTTAGGGAATCACTTCTGGCGATATGCTCCGTGCATTTAATAACCCTTAAAGATAATATGTTGGTCTCCGTAAATGTGCAATAGGAAGGCACAATTGCATCTGTAAATATGGAGAAACCCAACATTCCTTGTTTCTGCCAGAAACATTGTGTCATACAAAATGGGTATATTCCCATTTATTCTGAACACCCAAGTATATCTTTCAGTATAACATCTTTTGGGGTTCGTACTATGGGTTTGTTCTTTCACGTTCATTTTCATCTGTAATGGAATTGCCTCTTTCCATTTTGGCCAATGATATTGTCGACATTTAATAATAGAACGTGGTTCCAATCAACACAGCCCATTGATGATTTGAGTAGCTACTCCAAAACCAAAATTTTCATTCATCAATTCATGATCCCACCATTCTCATGTGCATGCGCATGCATCAATTATAAGCATTTCTTTGCTTTTGGGTACCCAAGCCACTTCAAGGGGCTTTTACTGTCTCTTTCCAGACAGACATATCTTATAGAATGAATTATGTGAGAATGTGGATCATAACCTCCAGTGGAGCGTTATTTTACAGTAGGGCGTGGATAATCTCCATTTAAGGAGTTGGAACATTTAGAACCCATATATCTGTCATGCTACAGGCATGCCACAGATTAATACATACATGTCAATTAATTGTCCTTCTGGAACTTGAAACCATATAATTTGCTACGCATCAAGCGTGCACTGTATTACCATTGACATGTTAAAGGATTGTCCTTTAGGGACTTCAATCCATATCATTTGCTACGCAACAGGCGTGCATCATATTGATCACTGCTATACCCATATTCTATTCTTATGGGACTTTAATCTGTGCAGTGTATTGTCAATGTATCCAACTTGCAATCTGTGAAATTTGCATTAATAATTCATGGATACATATTAGAACGATACAAGTCATTCTTCTGAGATGGTCCTTTGCATGGCGTTCTCCCTGAACGGCCTTATCTCCTCATTTGGTTACTTTTAAGCATGTAGTACAAAATATCAAAATAATATTACAAACATGAAATAGCACAAGTATTGCTTACATCCTTAGGCAGGAGAAACTTTTCTCAAGTATCATTCAAGCTCGTATCAACTCATCAAATATAATGTAACGCTTGATGATCTAGTTATATCCTGCAAGAGCAAAAATCACAATTCTTCTCTCTGTCAAAAACAAATAACCATCAGAGTTAGGATCACTTCATGGATTCTTTCTTCGGATGTTCATTCTAAGGAAATAGAATCCCAGAGAGTTATAAAAGAAAGAAAAAAATACAAAAATTATGATATTGATTGCAAGGTAAGGTAAGCAATCAAGGAAGGAAGCTGGTGGGAACAAACGACAGACTCTCATCTCTCCTAGTCAAGGAG